TCTCAGACCTGGAAATCACCCTGGAAGTGGAACAGCCACGGCAGAGGCAGAGGCAAGAGGTACCTGCCTGTCTGGCTCTGTCTTAGCCTCAGGGATGCTCTGCGTGGATCACATAAATCAGCACTGCAGGCAGGGCAGGGAGGGGTGACTGCTCTGCTGCTCTGTAGTGGGTTCCACCTGAGCATGCCATGTTTCTCCAGCCCCTGTCATGGTCAGACAGGTGGGAGCGAAAGCCAGTGACTCAGAGCAGGACCTGGGTTCCTGCAGCAGGGTGTGGCAGCACTGGGCTCGTGCCCTTTGCCACAGCCCTGTGCTGGTTTTGGTGACTCCCACTCCGGCCTCATCCAGCACCCCTGATGTGCCACACCAAGGGCTTCATGCTGAATTGTCCTGAGAAGGAGCCCCATGCCCCCTGGTCCCCTGTAGGAAGGGGCAGTGGTGGCACTGGACCCTGCACATCCCCTCTGTGGGATGAGTCCATTGCAATCATCCAGCAGACAGCTCTGGGACAGAGGCTGTTGCTGGCACGGGATTGATTGCCAAGGATGGAGCTTGTGCTCATCTTCCCCTTTTTTGTAACTAATCAATGTCTTTCTATTTCACCTCCTGCCACCCACACCTGTTTTTTCTGACCTACCCAGGATGTTTTATTCCTCTGTACCAGTGAATTCTCTCCTGCAGGGTAGTATAGAATATAACAATCCCTGGTGTATAAAATGCTGACTATCAGTAGGCTCTAGCAGGTATTGAGTGAAATGCCAAGATGTGAAGCTGGGGCCAGCCCAGCCACGTTTGCTCAGTCAGTCCCCTGTGGCTGTCCTAACACTTGTGTTGGTTCCCTTTGGCTCACAGGTCCCCAAGGAGACCCTGGCCAAAGCTGTGCTGGCAGAGCTGCCCCAGCAAGTCGTGCAGTACTTCAAGCACCAAAACCTGCCACCCATCAACTCGGAGCCCGCGTAGAGCTGTGCCAGGCTGCACCCTCTGCATGCTGCCGAAGCCTGTTGGTCCTGCCAAAAGCACGTTCCACATGCTTTTAAGAGAAGAGTACCCTCCCTGAAACACTTTGTACTTCTTAATTTAATTGCTAAGTTCTTAAGACGCATCCCAGCACAGTGTCTGGATTCATTTTGTACAGTCTTGGCCCAAGGTAACACTAGGCAGCCAGGCCATGCCTTGGTCCTGCTCTGTTGAGTCACTTTTCAGTATTGAATGTACTTTGTATAATTTCAGTGGTACAGAATACAATTTTTATGATCAAAACTTGCTTTTTCCAAGCAATGAAATGCTTAATATATTATCATTCAATGAACTGGTTGTTGTATAGTTCACGTATTTGTGTTGTACCTGTACTCCTGTCAGGTTTTGTGTTCATTTTTATACTGTGTACATGTTATATTTGTTATACTCAGGTTAATAAAGAAACTTGGACATTTAAAACAAGAGTCTCCTAGCTGTCTGTACCCAGCACGTTATACTCAGGTTAATAAAGAAACTTGGACATTTAAAACAAGAGTCTCCTAGCTGGGAAGGTCTGGGAGTGGCTTAGACTGTCAGCAGTGCTGGGTGTTTGGAGTCACCCTGACAGGGCCTGTCCTGGTCCCTCAGTTGCTCTGCTGGCTGTGCCCAGGATCAGCCCCACTGTCAATGGCAGCATCCCAGAGGGAGATTTAGTGAAGGTGGATATCCTGGGGAGGGCAGCAGGCCCTTAATGCCTGCCTGAGCTGAGTCTGTGTGCTTGGGAAAACCCTGGTGACCCCACAACAAACCATCAAAGGGAGTTTCATGGTTCACTGCTGCTTCAACTCTAGAAAATTTTCCAAGTCTGAGCAACAAAAGCTCCCTGCTGCCTGGGAGAAGATGGGCTGGGTATTGAAATCCTGCTCTCCAGCAGCTCCTTGGAGCTGCTCATCAGCAATGTGCTAATTGCTGCTTTATGCTGCTCCTAACTAGATTAAGGTCTTTTGAAGCTGAGTATGCTGTTGAATATCTGGCAGGGATCACCAGCCCTGCTCCAAACTCAAGCAGACTTGACTTGAGTCTCCTCCCCATTAATGGAAGCTTTAGAGGTGGGAGGTTGCTGTCCCTATAAAAAGCCTGCAGCCCTTTCTGCACAGGCTGTGCCACTGCTTGTGCTCTCTGCCAGCAACCTTGTGGCTGTCACTGCTGCCACCAGCACACAGACGGCCCCGGGCTGTCCCACAGTGATTCGGCTCCAAGCACAGCCCTGGGTGAGACCCCATCCCTCGGGAGAGGTGGGACTGCTCCGACCTGGAAGGGAAAATAAGCAACCAACACCACCCTTTTCCAAAGGGAGAAGCAGCCTTTGAAGGGTGGCTTGTTTAAAAATAATGCTGTATCCAGCTCAGCTTCCAGATCGAAGTCTGCGGCTTTGGGAATTTTTATTTATTTCCATAAGAGAACCTCACACGCAGCTGCAGGAGCTCATAAACTCTTCTGCTAGTAGAGTGTTTGTGGGGGTTTGTCGGGTTTTTTTAACACCTCGCTGAAACTTTTAACAACTAGCACAGACAAGGAGCAGTTTATTGAGCTGTCCCTGGGGAGGGGATGAAGCACACACTATGCAGTCATGGTTTTTTTCTTAAAAATAACAAAAAAATAGATCTAAATCCACCAGTGAATGAGAGCTGCTGGAGCCAGCCACAGCCAGCTTGTCTCCAGTTTGGCAGCCCAGGGCAAGGTTACTGCCACAGCTGCCCTTTTCAGGTCTGATTTATCCTCCATCCCATGCACTCTGCACTTCCCTGCACGTCTCCAGCACTGGAGCATTTTAATGTCAGATGGCTTCTGATGTTCAAAGGTAAATGGGACCAACAGATGGAGTGAGGAGCTGGGGCAGCTCTGCAGTTTGTTTACACGAGCCAGGCCCTGAGAACAGCAGAGCTGACTCAAAGGTATTCCCCAAGTGTCCTATTCCATTCTTCTAGGAACAGGAGAAAGGCAGAGGGCCCTCACATCTGCTTTTCCTGGATTATGTCTCCTCCTGGCCTTGCACAGCCCCATATACGCACCATAATATACACACCAAAATACACACACCATCTCACCTGCAGCCCACCACTGCATTTGCCACAACTGGCTTGAAACTCCCACTATCAATTTCTGGCTAAATCAGGCATTTTGACTGCAGCTGTGCAAGATACCACTCAGGAAAATGGCCCCAGCATGCTGACAGCTGGGCAAGGCTGCTCTGACTCTACAGTCACATAATTGATCTAGTTTAATGCCAGGGAAGAACACCAGCAGCTCTCATACCAACTCCTTGAGGCTCTTGCCCATACAACTTCAATAAAAAAACATACTTTTTTTTTTTTTTTTGTGCACCATTTCCATTTCATTCCATAGCTCAGTAAGATGAAAGTCACCAAAAGCAAAGCATTAGGGAGGCTGCACAAAATCTGCTTATTTTCCACCTGAAAGTGCCATAATTACAGTAGCTAGAGAAGAGGCAGGAGCAACTCTGGAGCAAACACAGGAGGTGCCAGGCAGCCCAGAACAGGGGAGGAATTGCAGTGTGTTTGTAAAGATCTGTCTGTGGAACAGAGCTGTGCAAACAGAAAGGGTATTTGGCTAAGGATAGCTTCATTGTGAGCACAACTCTCCCCATTTCCTTTGGAAAATTCAGCACTCAGGTTAAGGCATGAATCCACCACAGGCTTTTTCTCTGCTTTTAGCCCAGCTGCTGCCTCACAAGTCCCTGAGTGCCACCTCCAGGTACGTGCCCCTTGGAACACACTGACCAGCTGCTGTCTCAGCACTTAGAGCAGGACTGCACAAAGGCACTTCCACCCCTGAGCAGCTGAGCTGAGCTGTTCCAACCCTCCAAACTCCCACCAGCACACTGAGACTAAGAGCATGGGCCTTCAGCCCTACTTCTGGAACTCTCAACTTCCATACAAAGGAGTTTGGCTGAACAGGGGACTCCCACCCACTCTGGATTCATGCCCTTCAGGACACTGCTGCTGAAAAGCTGCATGATTTGCCAAGCCCCAGTGCTGGAGCAGCCTTTGAGCAGAAAAGCCAGATGCAGTTCCTGTGAACTCACTCAGACCAAGTTTTCCATCACCACCTCTGCTTTTGTGGGAAACTGAGCTACACATCTCCTGGATGGTGGTTTGAGGGAATGGCTGGTGAGTAGAGCAGAAATTGATTAATGGAATGAGAACAATTATGAATGGCACAGGCAGAGATAAAAAAATGCATTCAGAATGTCTTTAATCATGTAACACTAAAACTTCTTTACAGTGTCATGGCAATCTACACTTCACCATCTGCTCAAATTTGGTTCTGCCCCCATTTTTCAAATACAGAATAAAAATGACATTTTAAAACAGAACACATGGCTGCTTCTACAAGACTTCACTGCTTCAAGTGATTATTTTTTGCCTGTTAGTCTTGTATAAACTTCTTAAATCAACATAATTCTTTCCATAAGAATTGTAAAAGATAAAGCTCTCTCCTCCATAACCCTCAGACCTTTGTGACATGGTTAGGTGTGCCTTCTGCTTTACGATGGCAGCTTTTCTTCCAGGCTCAGTATGCACCCCAGAAATGGAAAGTTGAGGCGGGGGGGGCGGGGAAATAATGAGTTACTTTAGGAGTATCTGAGTGTAATAAAGTTGAGAGGTTAGCTAGAAAGATTATATTTGGGGCAGAAGGATGCAACAAGCATCCACCAGGGCTTTGGAAGATATTCTGCACTACATTACACACGGAGGGATTTTGTTATGGACCATCAAAGAAACTGTTGCCACGAAAGACAGAAGAGACAATCTTCCCGGTGGAATTGATGGTGCCTTCGCTGTCCGAGCTGGACTCGGAGTCGCTGCTCCCCGAGTAGGCGCCCAGGCCAGGCAGGATCCCAATGCACACGGCTGCTGAGGGACAGTGCACTGCGGAGCCTCCCACCGAGCTGCTCCCCAAGGGAACACAGGAGGCCTTTTCTGGAAAAGGGAAACCTCAGTCAAAAACGAGAGTGCTTTTCAATCAGCCCAGGAACCGGCACGTGTCACTCACCTGCTTTTCACACATAAGCAGGGGATGATTTCAGGATTTAATTAAAGCATAAGGCTGCTGTAATAAAAGCATTCTGACAGGAAGGACTTGCTACCTCAGGGGATTTTCTTCTTCTCATCACTAGTTTAAGCCCAGCTCTATGCTGGCATTACAGGTTTTTTTATTCTAAAGTTGTCAGTTTGATGCTTGTCAAGTATCAAATCCACTAAATAAGAATAAATGACTCTGCTTTGAGTAATTGAGTATTTTTTTGCAATGTAACAGCATAGTTGAGAAAAAGTTTTATTCTATCATTCTGCTAGTCAACATCTCCCATCTTCCATGGCTAATTAATTATTTCTGCTGTTCTGAAAGTTTACTGAACAGAAGGAGATTCAGGAAACGCCTTGGGTTGTCGTTACACAACTGCAGCTCACCCGATTTGTGTCAGAGTATCTTGTCAGCAAGTCAATTGCAGCCCTGACAGCTAAAGCTGAAACACAACTTAATTCTTCTTCTAGTTCCCCACAATTTTCTGAAACAAATTGATTTCAGGATGGACTGAATCACTTCAGAGCATAAATCTGAAGTGGTTGTACACAAATACATGCAATGCTGCTGTGAAGAGGAAGGGGATCATCTGCTCTCCATGACTCCTGCCCACAGAACAAGTATTAGGCTTGATATGCACCTAAGGACAATTCCATTAGTTATCAGGTGAAACTCTTTCACATTAATAAACCCTCAAAGAAGGTGGACAGTCTCTATATGTGGAGACTTACGACAAACATCTGTCAGGGCTGGTTTGGGCAGGGGACATCCTGATAACCTGCAGAGGTTCCCTGAACCTATTTTCCATGAAGACTGTCAGCACCCACACTTACCATTTCTACTGCTTTAAAAGAGAACGTGCCAACCAAAGTCCATGCTGTCTTGCCCAGTGAAGGAACAGAAAAGCAAAGCCTCTATGAGATTTAACCCCAACGCAGCTGCTGCTCAGTGACAGACAGAGTTTCCCACACTAGAAGTTGGAACATACCTGGATTCTTTTCCTCGTGGTCAGTGTCTAGTTTCAGCCTCTTGACACTGTTACCACCATCTGAACTGTGGAAAAAATAACAGAGCATCTTGTTCATAGGCAAACACTTAATCACTGTGAAGTCATTGTTACATCTTTGCCTCAAATACTACAGCAGGGTTCCCAGATGACCATCACCACTTCCAACTGCCATTAACTGAGGCTCCCTGGGGAACATGCAGGATCCAAGGAAGCACCAACACCTACACTACAAGTATCACTTGTTAACCTGGGAAAGGAACACACCTCTTAGAGTTCAAGTCAAACCCCTTCCACAGCAACCTGGAGCTGCCTGTCCAGCAGGATGTGCCCCACAGGAGACTGGGAATAACCACCTGAGCTTCAGACACCCACATGGCCACAGCCCTGCACATGTGGGTGATTGCCACACTTGCTGGTGCCAGCATCCATGGCTTTTCCCTTGCAGGGCTTCTTTCCCCTCCTTCAAGCACCTGGAGCCTGTTCTAAAACATCTAGAAATCTTGCACTCAGTAAGCTCAGACAGTCTTACAGCAATGGACAGAGATGCAGTGTCCACAAAGGTCCTTTCTGGGTCCAAAGTGCCACTGGGAGAAAGGAGCATGACTTGGACTCCTGACTCTTCAGAACTCCCATATCTCTCCCCTGTCACTGCTGAGATTTCCCCCCCACTCCTGCATGCTCCCAGTGCTAAGGCATCCACATAAACAAATGCTTCCCAGATTCAGCAGGGATGAACTGATGAAGCATGAGCATTAGCATGCATTAACTCTTTTCTGTCCCTATCAGAACATGCAGTACAGATGAAAGGTTATTCTGTGCAGAGAGCTTTTAATAGTAATACATCCTTTACAGGAAATTACAAAGCTCAGGGAGCAGATGTTGAGCACACACTACACTTGCTTTGGGCCACTTAGCAATAAAAGATAAGATGGCAAAAATAGAAGACTGCAAAGCAAGTCTGCAATGGCACTGACATGTCAGTTAAGATGCTCTCTTTAAACAGATGCCATCTGCAGACTCTAGAAGTACCATTAAGCACATGCCAGCTCCTTTTCTGCACCCTACTGGCTTAAGTACTATTAGTTACAAGACAAAAACAACATTATTGGCTGCTTGTCATCAGCTCAGGGTTTTTCTTTTCTCTCTTCCCAAAACCCAAACTACCACACAACCCCACAGACATTAGGTGGTGGAAGTGCTTACTTCAGTTTTCAGACATGCAATTAACTGCTGTACTGGGAGCTAAACATCACCCTACAAGATAAGCTTCTAAAATAATCTCGCATTCCCTGAGATGATTGGAACACACTGCATTTTGAGATGTCAGTAACCATCTTAACTATTAGATGATTCATCTGTGGGAAATAAGTCTGGTCCCACATGCCTGGTTTCTCCACAACCTGTAGTACACCAGCAGCTGTGTTTGCAGGCCAGGATCAAAGCAGCAAGCACACCACAAACCCAGCTGGGATGGAAAGGGTCTTGATGTGTCAGTGTAAACCCCTGAGGAACACAGGAAGTTTCTCTGATATCCTTAGAAGCAAACTGGCACACAAAGCTTCTCTCTTGTAACCTTGTCTCCCCCATGCTGTCCCCAGCAGCAATTAAAACAATCCATTTTAAACTCAGGTAGAATTAGCTGATAAATTAGGCAACCTGAATGAAATTACATTAGTGAGGTGACACTGGTATCTACAAACAGAGATGTAAAACAGATTCCCTCAAACCCCAAGCAGGATTGCCCAAGCCTGGCACTCTAAAATGAAGATCCTGCCCACTTGCTTTACACACACTTATCTATTTGATTTGCTTCATGTTTTTCCCCACAGTTTGTGAGAGCCTATAGAAACAAGACTGGTCTTTTCTTATACCTTCCCCCTTTTTTCTTTAGGGCTAAGGTTTACACCTCACTCTCTGGAGGCAGTTTTGGCCTGTCTCCCTTTACACTGCTAACTGGGTTCCGTTCCTCATGAATTTATAGAAGTGTGAAACTAACCTTCTGTGTTTCACAGCTCCTGCCAACAGCTTTGCCTGAGAAAATTTGTTCTTGTTTTCCACTGACTTCATGGGCAATTTCTTCTCAGTTTCCTTCTTTGGGTCCATACTGACTCCCACTTTAGTGAGAGTGCTGTGAATTAAGGGTTAAGGATCAGCTGGGAAGGAATGGGGAGAACAGACATTTCCTCCCTGATATATTTAGCCAGCTCTGCTGACAGCAGTGACCGAAGTTCATTCACATATTCTATCAAAATAAACTTACTTGTGATGACATTGAGCTGGTAGCCTCAGCCAGAAGAGAAGATATTTTGCCCTCTGGGGTTGGAGCTCTCTCTGGTAGCAGGACCAGCTCTCCCTGTGAGGATGTCCAGGCACAAACCACCCAGCACCCATTAATATATCCACCATCCTGCCTTTTCCTAAAGGCCTTAGAAAAGCAAAAAGGTCAGGCTGGACCAAAACAAACCAAAAAGACAATGCAGTACTTCCCCTTCTATGGGGATCAACACACTGGTAATTCAAATTTGCTGCTCCACACTCTAATCCTTACCAGAAAAGCTAAATAGCAATATATGCACTCACTTCCACTCCTCAAACCCTCTTTTTGCTGAGCCCAGCAGATTTCAGCCTAGCAAGACAGAACAGTTCCATTTTTTGGGTTTGGTCTTTAGCACTCCACCTTTCCATCTCATCCCTCTGTAAGGACCACAAGGATTCTACTGCTGGTCTGAGCACCAGTCCCAAGAGGAAGGAGACATTGATTAAGGGGAGCTGTGGTCCAAGATTCACCCAAAAAAGACTAACTGCTCAGAAAAGCTAAGTAGATTAAAACAGTGTTAGAAAGGTGGAATGCAGCTGAAACCTCTAATGAGGTGGGGAAGCTAAAGCAGGTTCTCAGATGGGGTAAGAAGGAGCTGGGTCTGTTTATTAGGGCACACTCTGAACACATCTCCTTGTGTGATGAAGGGAAATCTGTCAAAGACCCTGTTTGTAGACAAGGTGCCAGGAAAGTGACACAAAATTCTGCAAAAATTTTAACTGCACAGGCAAAGGCAAATTAACTTAGTTTAAAAGCATGTTTATAAACTCAAATCTAGTGTTCTAATAGTTTGTCCTCTGACTACAGTTCCACAAGCTGGAGTTTCACAGGTGCCCCAGTCACTGCAGACATGTTTTGTATAGTGAATTTCACACTGATGGCACATATATTTGAAGCCATAGCTTTTTTCTCTCACTGAACATCTGAAAATCAAAAACTTACAGACTTTGCTTTGAAGTGACATTCAGTCTCCAATCACTTTACAGACAGGAATGTTCAGATGCCATTTATTATTTGATTTTCCTAAGGAAACAGCAGTAACCCAGACTGTTCCTTACTTCAACCAAAAGTCCTCTCAGCCCAAACCACTGCTCAATTTCATCTATTTTTGAGATGGCACAGGAGTGCCATCCTGTGGCTGTCTGAAGTCATCTCAGAGCTCCTCGTGCTGAACATGATTTGATGCTGCCACACAATTCCTCCACACACTGCAGTGTTCAACTGCCACATTTAGGTCCATTACCTTGTTATATTCTAAGCCTGACTGAGGAACTCAAAGGCTTTTCTTTTAAAAGACATCAAATTACAGGCTTTTAGCTTCCATCCAGGATGGCATTCTCCTAAAACTCCTCAACTAAAAAGGCACAGCACATTTTTAGTAGGTATTTTATACATCCTGCTGTCATTAGCAAATGTAATGCTATAGCCAGCCAAGAAGTGTTCCCTCTCAGGAAGACAACATTAGAAACAAACCTCTCAATCTTAAATATCAACTGCACTAAACAAGCTGTCCTTCAGTAAAGCCAGCTTCTTGGAGGGGGGACTGTTCCTACATTTAGATAGCAGTAAAGACAAGCTGATCTTGCTCTCAAATACTTCTTGGAAATGGCTTAAAAATATTTGTAAATCTTTATCTGAACAGGGGGGTCTGGACAGGGTAAGGAACAAACCAACCCAGTTGTTCATGCAGGAGAAAGAAAAATTCCTATTCATCCATGTATATGAATCTCTTATGCTCAAGAGTACATTGAAATATTCCAAGGCACATTTATCCTGAGGATGTATAATTTTGTGATTGTTCAACCTAAAAATTTAAGGGAAAAAAAAATTTTGTACTTGAATATTGACACAGTTTTTACCATGAAATTAATACCTCTGGGCAGCTTAAATTAAATGCTGCAGAAGGAAAAAGAGCAAATAATGAAATCCATTGGGCTGACATTCCTCTTATTAATCTGGAAGAGCACTTAAACAGTACCTATAGATGCAGCACAGGGGTTTTTGTCACTGCAGTGATAAACCACTAGTAACAACCTGCAGAAGCAAAAACCACTTTTGCATTTCAGAACACCACCAAAAATTTCAAACACAAGTCAATTTGCTCTGAGGCTGCTTGAAATATTATAGTTAAATAAAAAGAATTTAAAAAGGAAATTAAATGGGCAACACTTCTGATTTTCTCACAAGATGAGGTGACTATAAAACATTCTCCCTTCCTCCACTCCACCAGCATTAAGTTTAATTTTTACAGTAAGACTTCAGATTCAGAGCCACTAATACCCCTGAGAGTGCAAAGACTGAGGTGAGATGCTTTGCACATCTTGATGAGGCTGTTCAGGGATCTGTGTGTTATGTGGCTAATTCAAGGCAAATTCAGATTCCCTCAGGGCTGGTATGGTTCACCCCAGATGTATGTGACATAACAAGAGCTGTCAGCTGCTCCCACAGCACAATTTCACACTGCACAACCCTGGATCAGCCAGCCCCACGAGCAACCATCACCAAAACTAAATATATCCATGAACATGCCATGAACAGATCCAGCAAATCAAGAAAATACTCCAAATCCATCAGCTAACTGCAGCCTATTTCTGAAGTTAAAAAAAATGCATCAGGATTGCTTTATCATAAACACACTCCTGAGCTAATTGAGATGTTCTTCACAGGACACATGCTCCAAATTGTAAATCATTGACTAACACAAGGTAAGAACAATCTCTGCAGTACCAGCACTACTCAATTTTATTTGCTGACTGGTTTTGGTCACCTCCTTGTGTCCACAAACTCTTTCATCTATACTAAAGCTTCCCTGAGCACTTGTGTTTTGTTCACCCAGAACTCAAAAGCAATCTATACAAGGAAACCATCAGATTCTGCACAGGTTCAGTAAACCTCAAAAAAGCAACATTTTGCTTAGCACAGAAATTCTCAAATCATTCCAACCTCCCTTGACTGGCACTAATTAGAGAGGAAAAACACCCTATATGATTTTCTAGCATCTCTACAAGAAAATCAGGCAAATTTAACAGCAAAGCCAAACTGTCCTGCTGTTAGTCCTGCCTACAAGTGTGTACTACCCAAAGGAGCCAAGACTCCATGGGCACTGACTTCCCAGAAGAAAGTCAGCACATCTGCACAGATGTATTTAATTTCTCACCCTGAAAGTATCAGCAAAGGAGTAAGTATCTAATACTCCAAGAAGAATAACAGAGAGAGCAATCCACACATTATTTCAAACAGGTATGTTAAAATCAGGCAATATACAGTTTAAAAAAAGAGGGTGTAATTTTCCATAAGACAAAAGCAAAGTATTAGAAATAATACACTGGTTTTTCTTTATGTTCTCTTTCTAAGTTATGGTATTTCATGACCTCAGTAACAGAAAAAAACCAAACCCCAGAAAAGCACAACCAAACCCCAAAACAATGCAGAGGGGAGAAGAAAAGGAAAGTATCAAAGAGGTGGGAGTTGAGGGGGGAATATCAAAGATTGCAGGGGTCTATCAAAGCTACAACGAAACCATTGAACTGTGAAAGTGTATCACTATACACATTCTGCAAAGCAGCTTTATAAAAAGAATATCAACTGACAGAACAAATACAGCCCACTCTCACCCTCCTCTAGGTAACCACCAGCCATTTTAGTGCAAAGGATATTCTGTATTCATTTAGTTCTTTCAGCTCTTCTTCCCTCCGTTGCTTTTCTAGTAGCTCTTGCTGCCGAGAAACCTCATCAAGGAAATGTGTCTCATCTTCATCTAAGCCTCTTACCATATTTTCTGAATAAAGAAAGAAGAAATTTGTTGGTTTCAGACACCAAGGCTAAGTCTGTCTCCTCTGAATGTTTCTTAAACCATCCAGTAACTAAAAAAACCACACTGCTTCTTCCCTCAAAAGAGAAAGAACATTTTCTTAGAGCAAACAATTCTTACCTAATAAGTATTAACACCTGTTCAAAAATCTTTGAAAAAAAGTAGAAGCAAGACAACTCCCAATTTCCAAATAAAACCAAATTCTTTCTAAACATGCTACCCTACTTTAAGGGAAGTACATGCTAGTGCAGCAGGAAGGTCTTTTATCCCCTGTTCTGCAAATGTTCAGTGCCTCTTGAGCAAATTATTTAATTAGAATGACAATAAAGATTATGTTTCAGGAAGACCAAATCTTGCTGTTTGTAGTCATCATCAGAAATCTTAGCCCAAACATCACCTTTAGTCCTCATTAAAGTTTAATTCCGTATTTTAGGCTTTTACAGGTATTAAAAATACACCATATTTTTAATCTTCAACCCACACAGACAAGCCCTAGTCACTTTGAGGGCAAACTAGGAAATCCATTTACACTCATAACTGGCAGCCTTGTGTCTGACAGAAAAGCTCTGGAAATCAATGATTATTTGAGGTCACTTTATAAAAGCCAATCCCTGCTCCTTCCAACTCATGCAGAGCTCATTCATAAATCTTTAAACAGTAACTTGTAGCACTCACTACTATTACTGAGGACCCCATCAGAGAGCAAAAGTAGTGAAACTCAGGACATTTTTTGAAGCAAGTGACATGAATTAATCTCATTTTCTGCCTGACTCATCTGCAAAGGAAGAGGAGCAGCCACTGAGGCCCTTTGAGCTGAGGTTTTATTGAGGTTCCCTCCTAGGCAGGAGGATTCTGCAGCAGGTTTTGTTCTCCAGGTTAGCTGCTATCTGATACTCTGCTGTGGTTGCACTAAAAGCAGAGGTGGGTTTACTTCTCAGGGCTATTTCCCATTCCAGTACTTGGATTACCAAAGCAAAGGTGTTGCAGATCTAATACAACTGGCCAAGAAAAACAATTCATTTAGACAGTTATTAGCAGCCCTTCCTGTTCAGGCTGACAGCAGTCAATTTTTGGGTGGCTCCTTCAGCAAGGATTGCTTAGTCATGTTACCAGAAATGACTGGGATCAAAAGTTTCTGCTGAAGTTTACTGGAAACTCTCTAGGTGGAAAGAACCCTGTAGGTCCAGCTGGAGACTTTGATGCATTAATGCTGCTATCTGTACTTGCCACTTTTCAAAGGGCTTTTCTATAAAACCAGAAATCCAAACATTTCGTTAGAAGAGTCAAACAACTACTTCTAAAGACTCAAAACATGTACATTTACTTCTTCCAAATCATAATCTTAACTCTCAAACCACTTTTAGTCAAATAATTATGACTTGGAAATGTAATAGGTGCTCTAACATGATTCAAGCATGTGTTAAAGCATGAGTTCAAGACTCACAAAACCACAATACTTTTCCACTTCTTTGTGGATTGCTATCAAGTTTGTTGGGGAGTTTTTTTTTGGATTTTTTATTTTATATGCAATATAAGCTCAGTATTCTGAGCTTATATTGCATATAACACTTTACAGGCATGCATCTTCAAAACTGCAAACACCTTTTGAGTTTTTGCATGTGTGCAATGCCTCAATGTCCAGAACATGTTCCTTTAAAAATCCAGGATTTCAATAACACTCTCCTGAAGCCTTTGTTTCCACCTCAGAGAAGGAGACAAGACACACAGATATGTCCTTTACTCAGAAGTCGTGCACAGCTGTTGCACACAACACATGCAGTTTGCTGCTGCTGCTTACTGAATTTAAATTGCTCCTCAAACTCCTGCTGCTTCTTTTCTCTCTGCTCCTGGAGCCTTTCATACAACGACCGTGGGTCATATGCCTCCTCTGGGCATTCTGAAAGGAACAAATCAGCAAGGGACACCGTGTTAGGAACGCTAAACCACCAACAGTTCTCAGATCCTTCATGTTAAAACCATCTCAGTTACAGAATATAAAAAGCCATTACTTTTAATTTCTATTTTCCACAAGAGTGAGAAATTGTCAGATCTTTTTCCTGTAATTACTGAATTGAGCCCATACCTTTTGGGTCCTCAGGTTTCCGCACCTTCTCCCATTCCTCTTGCCTTCTCTTTCGTCGCTCCTCTAGCTCTGCTTCAGACACGAACCTCTTGTTGATCACCAGGTCAGCAGTGCCATCTCCCCCTTCCATTGTGGAATAGTGTCTCCTAAAAACACAATCAGGAGTCTGATTATGCTTTTCATTGAGTGATTATTAAATATTCTGAGAAATAGACCTGCTGCCCTTACAGTAACTTCAGTTCCCTAAAGAGCACTGCATAGTGAGCACTGACTGAGACACAAACCCACTGCATAACTGCCAAGACTAACAAGCATCATCTATTACTCCTTCTTTACTCTTTTTTCATAATTACATATTTCCTACTAGTTGTCTGCCTCAGGCTGTTTTTCTGAAAGAAATCTGTCTTTCTGAAAGAAAGAATTTTAGAAATCTATGTTCTAATGGATTTACTTGGCTTAAATAAATATTAAAAAATAAATAAATAAACACCCTCACCTACACTCTCATCCTTTTATTTCTGTTCCTCCACATATGTTCTGAAGAGAAATAAAGTGATGGCAAAGCATCGAATCCCAAGTTCTTTTTGCCCAACCTATGAAAATTGGAGAAAGCTTGCCTGTTCTCAGTTGTTGAGTGCACGTATTTAGAAGTGATTAACAATGAGATTTCAGAAATTAGCAACGGTTCTGGTTTTGGCTGGGACAGAGCTAAACTTCTCAGCAGCTGTTACAGCTCAGTGGTTTGGCCTTGGTGTGACAGCAACATTGATAACACCCTTGCAGTTTTAGCCTAAGTCAAGGACTCAGTGTCTCACACAACCAGGGAGGAGCTGTACAAGAAACCATGAGGGAGCACGGCCAGGACAGCTGTCCTGAACTGAACAAAGGGATATTCCACAGAACCATGACCACACAACACTGTGCCCAGGATATAAACTGGGGGGATCTGGCTGGGAGGTCAACAGCTGAGTGAGAAAGGGCTAAGACAGAGCTGGGGTTAAAAAATGAGCAGCACTTCCCCTGGAAAGAGCACAGCCCCTTCCCACACAGTGCAGCCACCCTCTGCTTCAAGGTTTCAGTACCAGCTGCAGGGTGCAGATGCTCCAAGGAGTCAGCCTAACAAGGAAACTCGTGGTCCTGACACCTGTAAGCCCAGGATGAAACAAACTGCTTCTGTAAGCCCTAGGTGTCTCCTCCCAGAGTTATCCTGCCAGCTCCATACTACCCTAATGCCTGGTTTTGTTTCAAGCCTGTACCTCAAAACTTTACACAGCAGTACAACATAAACACAACACACAGAGCTGTTCACTTAAAGACATGCAAACATAACTTTTCTCTGCTTTATTATCTCCCTGGTTTAACTGCAGCAGGTTAAGGAGGGCAGACTGCCCACAGTTCTGCCAAGTACTGCTCACTGGGATCTCACCCTGCCTGCATTTCAGCACAGAAGAGATCCCAGGACAGTTACTCCTCCAGGGAGGAAGGGATGCAGTAACCCAAATAAGGGAAGAAACCTGTTTATCATCCTTCCTTCATACCACAAGGAATCAGTCCTGCAGGAAGTCCTGAAATCCTTACAAAAACTGATACTTTTGGGGGGTATTGCTTGTAAGAAAAATGAAAAAATTGAAATCTCAGGAGAAATTCAAGTTAGAGCACTGGACAAATATTTGTTACAACAGGATACATTCTTAAGGTAAGTATTACTAAAAGAAGACAAAAGAATTCTCTTAAGAGCTGGGGACAGGAAGGAGAGATTCAGGGCAGGTGATTTTTTCTTCTTTAAACTTTTCTTTCTTTCTTTTTTTTTAATATCTAACAAAAAATCCACCCTAAGGCCACTTTCCAGAGAGCATGGAACACTTGCTCTTTGAGTGCAATTTCTGAAGGTGGCTCAAGCTGGAAACCTACAGAGAAGATAAAAATTGAATCTCACTGCTGAATACAGGTCCTGATCACAAGGCCAGCTTTCCTATCCAAGTGCTGCATAAACAACATTTCTTTCTCCACTTGTGTCATCTCAACCTATATATTTAGAGAGGAAATTAAAGGTTCCAATACAATGGTGACAGAAAGTAATAAAAGCAAACTGAGAGAGGGATTCTGCAAGAACACAGTATCCTCTGGGGACTACAGCCTTCAGCAGCAAACCACCTGGATCAGTCAGTCCACTCAGACAATATATTTTAAGATACATAAATTGATACATCAATTAAACCATGATTAAGGCCTGAGATGCAGTAATGCTTCCAACACCAGCCTGAAAACTGGTGTCTGACACTGACAACCCCATTTTGGGGAAAAGAGATGAGGGGGAAAAACCCCATCAAGCAGCATCAGATTAAAGTTCACTCGCACTTACAAAGTTTGGTAATTTTGCTGTATTCTTTGCCCTCTCCCATCTGAATCTAACACACACAAACCAGACACAACAAAAAACACGCACTTGGCAACTTTTCCCTATTTATCTGAGTTTTCACCTGGTGTAGGCGAAATTGTAGGGCTGTGCTGTCATTGCAAATGAAAAAATGTTTGTCACAGTGGTAAACCACACGTTTTATAACACCGGATGGTAACACCCCCAGGATCACAAACCCTCCCAAACTTCACAACCCTTGCCACCACTTCGGCTGGAACAGATGCAGAGCAGCGACGGTGCCTTGGGTACCCGAGCGCAGCTTCCAACAGACCCAGCCCTCCTTAAACAACAAACGCTACTTACCGACCCGTTCCATCAGGCCGGCGCTGGGCCAGCCGGGCAGCGCTCCCCGCTCCGCACCGAGCGAGGCGCTGCGTGCCGAGCCCGGAGCCGCCGGGGATCAATGGGCCCCGCCGGCCCGAACCCGCCCCCGGGCCCCGCTTCCTGCGGCACCGCCGGAGCTCGGTGCGGGGAACCCTCCCGGGCGAGCCGGGCTCGAGCTGCTCCGAGCCCTCTCCGCTCCTTCCCTCCAGCCCCTCGTCCCGGGAGCGGCCCCCGGCCCGCCGCGCTCGCGGGGCCCAGGCCCAGCCCTCCTCAGCCCTGCACCCCAAGGGCCCGGCGGCCCGGCCACGGCCGCTATCCCCGCCCCCGGGCGCTGGCCGCGGGCGGGGCGGGGCCTGGGGCCGGGGCGGGGCCGCGCCGTGAGTCGCCTCCATCTTTCGGCACAAAGGAGCGGCGGCAGCGCCGGGCCGGGGCCGGGCAGGGGCGGAGGGCGCGGGCTCCGTGGCGGCCCCCGCTGTGCTCCCGGCGGGGCCGAGCGGAGCTGAGGTGAGGCATGGCATGGCGGACGCGGCCCGGCTGGCGGGTGCCGCGGGGCTGGGGCGGAGCGGGGCGCGCATCGGGCTGAGGGGAAGGGACAGCGCCGGGCTGGGCGCTGGTGGCCCCGCTGGTGGCCCCATTGCCGGCCGTGCGTTAAGGAGTGAAGGCACCGTGCTCAGCCCTCCCTGCCCTCCGCTCCCCCGGGGCCGCGGGCGCGGGTCCCGGTTGGGGCGGGGGCCGGGCCAGCGCAGCCCCAGGCAGCGGCCCGGGGTCCCGCCGGCTCCGGTGGTTGGTGCCGCTGCCCCTCAGGGATCCCGGTACCCCCGGCCGCCTCGCTGGGGCCATCTGGGGAGGGCGAGCCGGGGTAAGAGGCGGTGGCCGAGGTGCAGCCCCCGGGCTCGCTGGGCGCTGGCGGAGGCCCCGGAGCTGGGCTGGCTGCGGAGCTGGGAGCCCGCTGCAGGGAGCGGCGCAAGGTGAATGAACGCGGGTTTGGCGCTGCTCGGGGCCCGCAGGGCTTGGAACTTCCTAACGGCGCCTCCCGGGTGCGGGGAGAGCTCCCGGTGCTCGTATGACTTGCAAAACACGGGCTTGGCTGCGGCGGGGTTGGTGTGCGAGGGGCGAGGGGGCATCCCCGAGCCGGTGTGCTGCCCCGGCAGCTCGGGAGCGCTCGGGTCCGCACGCCGGTGTGAGCAGGCAAATCCTGAAAGCTCTCTCTGGCTCTCAATGGGAAGATGTTTCTCCACAGCAAGTTTTCTGTTTTCACAGAGGAGGTGTGGAGCGGGTCGTCAAATGCACTCGTTTGCCTGGATCTTTTGTTTTGGGTGGTAGATTTGGCAGCGGCGCCTTTGCCACGGGTGCGGCAGCACCTCGGCTCTGTGTCCCACGTCGGTGCTTATAGAGCAGGATTTTTCACTGCTTGTATTGTGCCCGTGTCGAGCATGAGTTTCTCTTTTAAGCCACTTGATTCTGTCCTGATCACTGTTTCTGTCTCTCAGGCCTTCGCTGACCCACTCTTTTTAGGAACTGCTTGTTTTTGATGTGTTCTGCAATAGTGCACTATCCCTTCTCGGTGCAATCTTAGTGTAGGTCCCAGGAATGGCTGTAGTCACATTACTTTTCATTTTCTGTTTCATTACTGCAAACTCTGATCCCTGAGCCCAGAGTTCATTTTGGTGCTCGGCCAATATTATCAGTTTTTCTCACACAGTGAAACTTTGGTCCATGGAGAAACACAGACATAAGAGCTGCCTTTTCCCTCCTAAATTAATTCAGCCTGCTCTGTTTTCTGAATGCTGGTGTGTTTGGTAGGGTGGTTTTTTTTTCATTTTATGTCTGTGTCAGTGTTTGTTTTCTTCAATATAAGAGATTTTTTTTCTACTTAGCACTAGCTTTGCCTCAGGATTTTAGCTTTTCTGTCCTTTGTTTTGCATTGAATGCATGTATTTGTTTTGGTGTTGTTTTCTTTTCTCATGCTGGTCCTCAACTCAGTTCTGCTTTTCTACTAATTTTCTGTACATCCATCACTGCTATGAGATTACTGTTACATGGAAACCTACATCCACTTGTTTATTGTGACTTTCCCTTGTTTCCTTCCTGGTATTAAAATGTTTGCTCTTTTCTTGTTAAACTGTACAGATTTTTAAACAGTGAATGTTCTCATCACCTTTGAGCCACCTGAAATATTCCCTTGCATCTCATCTCCTCTTGGACTCCTGTATGTGACTATGGATTTCCAGAGCACTGTGCATCCTCAAAACTTGTCATATTATTTTAAGAGTCAGCGATGCTGTTAAATGTGTTTTTGTTTTGCATTTATCCAAATGCACAGAATTGATCTGTTCTTTGATCTAAATCTGGCCCATTCTTCTGTAAGCGCTTTTGCCTGAGTCTTTGTTCTCTGCTGAAGTC